TAGTAGCGATGCCCTTGTTACTAGTAGCTTCTTGCTACTTGCAGTAATGCCCTTGTTACTAGTAGCGATGCCCTTGTTACTAGTAGCTTCTTGCTACTAGCGATGCCATTGTTACTAGTAGCTTCTTGCTACTAGTAGTAATGCCCTTTCATTCGTGAAAGGCATGCGGGCGCAAAGCACAAGAAGCCTGCTTTTCACTGCTTTTCGACATACCACTGATTTCCGATTCTTCAGCGAGCTCATGTAAACAGGACCCAGTCAGCAGGAAGCACTGAAAGGTGGGCGGGAGTTCAACATGTCAGTCTTTTACTTAGGAAATGCTGGCAGCTCAGAGTAAACAATTGAAGTGCCTTGGGCATGTGAATGTACAGCCACAAAAACACCATTCACGAGCAAAGGCTCAAAGAGACATTGATGCAAGGCTCTACTTCGACCACGGTGAGACAAAATCTCAAACTACGACCAGGCTGCAATGTTTGAAGAATATACAAATCACAAGCTTGTCTCTCTGTCAAAGTTCGGACACAAATGCCTGAAAGAATGCCAACAAGTGTGATAATCTGAAAGAGACTAAACAACTGAGCAGCTCAAAGAACATGTTGCAAGCAATTGACTGTTCAGAACCTTTCTCCTTTGTTCAAGGGATGGGATCTGGGTAGATTTTGCGCAAGTGCCTATCTCGGCTGTCCAAACCGCATACAGTGCACACAGTCGCATGAGTCAGAGAAGGACTGCGAAGCGTTTGGGGTGATGTGTAAGCTTCCACGGCTGTATGGACCTTGCGCAAAGCAGTCGAGACCTGCAGATATATGAGCATTCGCGCGTTTGTGTGTGTGTGTAACCCTTGGAATCATAGGGATCCTTTTGGATTGTTTTGAGCCTTTAGCAGGGGGTGCCAGGGATGCACACTGGACTGGCACCAACGAAGACGCCAGTGCTGCATCTGTGAAATCAGTCCGGGACGCCGGATTGACGTACCTGCTTGGAGAGAAACCTACTTAATGGACAAGCTGTTCCAATTCTGTGTTTTGCAGTAAGCGGCTAATGCAGCGGGGCTTCACCTCAGATTGCGAACTTGATTTGCTGCACGTACGTCGTCACCTTGTCGTCCGCTCGCTCGACGTTTTTCTTTTAGAGCTGCTGGCCACCCGCAACCTTCGGGACCTCTGCTAGATGGACCTCCACTTCCTTTTAGGTTTCCTCACCTGTACCCTTAGGAATTGGAACCCTAGGCCGGCGTGTGGCACCGCCTTCAGTTCAGTACACCCTATCCTAAGTGTGTTTGGCCACGTGCCAACCCGGGATGAGCCCGCAGAGTGCCTCCCGTGGACCCGTCGAACGGGTGTACGTCGAACGTATCCATTGCCCGGATACAGAGCAGCTCGCAGCAAGCGTAGGTGGCCTAGGCCGTACGTACGATGATTTTTGTCTCATCTTTGGAATTCCAAGTTGGCTCATGCCGTTACGTGACCGCAGCGGTCAGAGGTGGCAGCCCTCGGGCAAGCCGTACGTGGTCGCAGCGACCAAAGCTTGTTCAAGGTTCATTGGAACCTGTCGAGCACTTAGCCCCCCCTTCTCCCCCTTCCCTCCCCCGTTCTTTCTTTGCTTTCTGAGGTTTTCCTGAATGCAATACTCAGGATCACCCCTCTTTCTTGGGTGTGTCCCTGGACGATTGTTCGTAGCTGGGAACACCTTCCTTTCCTCTCCCTTTCTCTCCCTCTCTCTTTCTTTCCTTCTCTCTTTCCTCTCTTCACCCTCTTCCCTGGGTGTCCCTGGATGCTTCGTCATAGCTGGGAGCCCTTCCTTTTGGTGTTTTTCTGGACGCATGTATCGTAGCTGGGAGCACCTTTGTCTCCTTCTTTCTTTCCCTCTCTTTTCTTCCTCCCCCTGCCCCCTCTTTCCTCGCGCGCGGCGTGTTTACAAGCAAACTAGGCTTCTGCAACAGGTTTTTCTAATGAGGTTTGGTTTGTCATTGGTTTGTCCCCGTTCATTTGGTTCCCCTTTCATCGGCCCCCACAGACGGTTTTTCTTCCTCTTTTCTTTCATGTCTTTCTGTCTTCATGTCTCTTCATCCTCATCCTTTCTTTCTCTTGCGCGCACTTTCGTCCGGACCTTAGTTTGTACACATACACGCACGCGTACTTTACTTACAGTGAGGTTCAGGTGGCCCAGGTTCGTTACAATGAGGTTTGGCTCATCGGTTGTCCCTCTTCACTTGGTTCCTTTTCATCGGCAACCACACACACCTTTGTCTGTCTTGTCCTTCTCATTTTCATCTGTCCCTTTTGCGTGCACATGTGCCTACCTCCTTTCCGGGCAGGATGGAGGTCACACATGCCTCCCTTCGGGGAGGCGTGTGTGTGTGTAACCCTTGGAATCATAGGGATCCTTTTGGATTGTTTTGAGCTTTTAGCAGGGGGTGCCAGGGATGCACACTGGACTGGCACCAACGAAGACGCCAGTGCTGCATCTGTGAAATCAATCCGGGACGCCGGATTGACGTACCTGCTTGGAGAGAAACCTACTTAATGGACAAGCTGTTCCAATTCTGTGTTTTGCAGTAAGCGGCTAATGCAGCGGGGCTTCACCTCAGATTGCGAACTTGATTTGCTGCACGTACGTCGTCACCTTGTCGTCCGCTCGCTCGACGTTTTTCTTTTAGAGCTGCTGGCCACCCGCAACCTTCGGGACCTCTGCCAGATGGACCTCCACTTCCTTTTAGGTTTCCTCACCTGTACCCTTAGGAATTGGAACCCTAGGCCGGCGTGTGGCACCGCCTTCAGTTCAGTACACCCTATCCTAAGTGTGTCAACACTGAAACAAAGACATGTTTAACATTGTTTAACAATAAATTTTGGACCAACACCTGAAACACCATTATATAATGTATATAAGAAATACTGGTTATATATGTAATACTAGGAGCAAGGACGCTACTAAGGGCTCCTGGCATCGCCACTAGGAGCAAGAACGCTACTAGGGGCTCCTGGCCTTACTACTAGGAGCAAGGACGCTAAGGACGCTACTAGGATTTTGTTTTCCAACTCCGTCGATCGCACCTTTGAGGTGCCACGATGTGCGATTGAAGGACGCGGCCATCCCCATGGGTCCCATGAAATTGGTGACGCAATGGTTCTCCGCTGGGCAGGCGGCATCAACACCTCAAGTCGATCTCAACAAGAGTATGAAACATATATCGAACCTTTCCAGTGAAAAGGAAGCAATGCCGGCACTCGTAAAAAGATAGAATGTGAGTAGCACGAAGTCCGAACAAAGTCCAAGCAGCCTGTATTTGTTTCAACCAACCACAGCCACGGGGGCAAACCAATCTCTGCCTTTCCCGTAGTGAAGGTTGTGCAGGTGCCTCAGAGTAGCGTTCGTTAGGCATGGCTTCAAATGGCTTGCATCTCAGGAAATTGGTGAAAAGCAAAAAACAACAGTTTGGATCTTGGTCTATATTGTAGATATCAAAATAAGAGCTATACCAACGTTTGCCATTGCTACAGCTCCTACACAGGCCTCTGTGAAATGCAGAATAAACATTGAATTCGGTCACCATGAACGTTTATTTGACGCCAATTGGCCTCCGAGCGAAGCATCAGGGGTGATTTGTTGGATCTTCTCTTCCAGGCTGAGGCGAGACATGAGATCATCCAATCCTTCAAACACAGCAACAAGCGTTCAGCGTTCAGCTCTCAACCGTGAGGGAATTCGACACAAACCAAGAAAAGCCGATATGATGCGATCTCTCCCGGTCTGCTCAGCTGAGTAACGCTTTTCCACCGAAAGAGTGGTGTCACAGTATGGAAGGCTTGCAGCCTCAGAAATGCAAGGCGCAAGGCAAACACTGTCGACCAACTTCCACAGGTCAGGTGATTTTGTTCTTGCACTCGGTGGGGCTTGGTATTGCAGAAAAGATCAGAAAACAACAGAAAGCAAAACTTCACTTGTCAATCGAAACGGGTCCACTATGTGCAAACATGCCCCAGGATACCCTTTGTCCTTAAATCTTTCCAGTAGCCTTATGGTCAACGCATCCGTGCCAGTTGGGGGTAGCTTGAGCGCCCAAGAACCCAAGCGCAGCTGGCACAGCTCCTGTCAAGTTCACTGTTTTAGAGCTGATAGAGCTGACAACTTGCGACCTTCGATCTTCGTGTATCATTTGTGAAGCAAACAATCTTTCGAGGTCCATCCGTCATATATTCCATCTGCTCGTATTGGCTCGATTTCACTTTATAGGTTCAACCCGAAGTGAACGAACCAACTTGCAAACCAAAAGGACACGACATCCAGATTTTGAACAGCCATGAGAACTGCTTGACCGAGCATGGGGTTTCTGTTGTGACCAACAGCGTACTGGTTTCTCCATGTTTCTTGCTGCTTCTTCCCTACTGTAAGTTTTTGGAATTACGATTGCGACCGCGAGACATCTTCTGACATTGGGGATCATTGGGGGCTCAGGCTCCGTCTTTCACCGTGTTTCTGCAGCCTGCTTGAATATCAATAACCTTCTTGTTTCTTCCGGGAAAAAGATTGCAGCCGTGAGCATGCCTTCCTTCTTGCTAGTGATGGGCATTCGCCGGTTTGGATCTAACGTGGCAAGATGTCTATCCGAGGCCTGATAGGCCCGACCTTCACATCGGCGTACGAGTGGCACTGGATGCTTGTTTGGCGGGGTGAAACTTGGTTAGGCAATCCCAAACTTACTCTCCTGCGTCTTCTGATGTCTTCTGTGTCTCGAGGCTACAGAATTAAACAAGACACTGAAAGCCGGCCTTTCAAACGGAATCCCATGGATTCTGCAGCTGAACACAGCTTATGGCGCTGGATATCGATGGAATTGATTGAGCCCAAAGGGACTGCTCAGATTCAACATGACTCCGCGGCGGTACAAATCAGCACTTCAGACTATCCAGCCACCGGACAAAGTATTTTTTCCAGTCCATTCAAAAACCGTTTTTGAATCTGTTGATGTGTCCAATGGTTTCTAGCCAAGCATCAACTGCGCATTGCGCATCAACAGAACTCCGAGTCACAGCTTTCCACTGAAACTGAAGAGAGCCTGTTTTCGTGCTCAGTGAAATCAGCGCACGAAAACATAATTACAGATTCTGCTAAATGGATATGTCAAACGGAAGAAGCGGAGTCGAGATCCTTAAAATATCACAGTTCTGCTGAAAATGCCTCTGGAAGCTTACGAATCTATATATTCTATCAAAGAAGAATTAAGGGCATGGTGTCAGAGCAATCACCAAATGAGCAGAACAAACACTCTTTCGCTTGTGAAAGCGTAACACACCTCAAAGGTCACCAAGTCCAAAAGCTTCGATCTTCATGTCCTCACGATTTCCCGCATCGAGACAACTGTGGACCGTAACCGACTCCTCAAGCCCGGCGAGCCAAAAGCCCAGTAGAAGCTCAGGTGCCTAGGAAAATCGGAAAAGCTTTAAAGCGAAAACAAAAGCCGTGAGTGAAGGTTGTTTTGGGGTTCAAGTTGTGCTAAAAGGAAAAACAACAAAACAACGGGAGAATGGAGAATGCAAAACACGCCGAAGAGCTGGCAGTCTTATTTAGTAGCGAGGCCCGGGTAGCAACAAAGAATACAAACGGTAGTACAAACAAAAGTAATTAGCCAGCTTTAGCAACTAGTATAGGCAAAGAAAAGAGCAAACTAAAAGAACAAGAGTGGGACAAATAAGAAGTTGGACTTGGGCCCCTTCGATAAGGCCCCTATTAAAGGCCCCAAGTCCAACTTCTTTCTTCACCTACTGAGTAGCAAACGGTTGGACTTAGACTGCTTGTAAACTGCAGACTTCACCGCACTCAGTCACGAACATCCATGCGCATCTTCAAATCTTCCATGTTCTCCGTGACCTTTCGCACAAACATCTATAGAGTGCCTGCACTGTGCCACTGTTAGCCAATGAGTGCCGTGGGCGCACAAAGTCCACACATCCACGTCCTTGAGAGTCGCATTCGATGTCTCAAAAGAAAAAGAATGAAAAAGAGACACTGTGGCCGAGACCCAATGCCCATGCCATTGGATCCGGGAAAGGCGGAGCAAAAGCCTCGAAGCCGCCAAGAGCGAGACCGAGACTTGTCACACCACTGTGCTTTCGACTCCCAAATCCTACTTACTCTCTCTCTAAGGTAGTCACTGTGCCGAGGTACAGAACGGTTTCCATACCTCAATATCGAAAAGAAAGAACAATATATTAGAAAAGGTAGCGCACCTTCAAAGAGAGATTCTATACCCTTACCGTACCTTTCCTTTATAACTATTTGTTGCTTTTTGTATGTTCATACATGCGCGAAATCGAGCAAGCTTTCCACCCATTTTTGACGAACCAGTTGTTTCTCAAGAAATCAACAAGAAGAGCAGCTATCAACAGCGACTATGATGATGATGATGATGATGATGTGGGGATGCGATCTTACTCGAAGAAATCATCGGGCATTGTGCATTGAATGCCAGGTCACCGAGCTGTCGCGCCATCGCAGTGCAACGCTCCAAGTCTCCGCAGTCGCTGTCGCCTTTCTTTTTGGGAAAACAAGGAACCGCGTCGAATGAAGAATCAAACCGGTACTTAAAAATGTTCATGACATTTTTGAATCAAAAAAAAGCGCTTCCACTTTTCCCCAGTACTAGGCTTACTAGGCTTGGGCATCTTACTGCAAACTAAATCGCATTCCAAGCACCATTCAGTACTCCCTACGTGGTTTCCACTCTACCCTCAGTGTGCCTCTGCAGCACCTCAAATGTCAAACTTGGCATGTTGGGAACTTGTGAGTTCATCAGTTCAAACGCTTTCTGTCGCCAAGGGGCTCCGATGCAATCCGCAAGCAGCCTTTCCACATCAAATGCATGTAAATCCGCCGTCTCGGAATTAGGTGCTGGTCGCACCGTCGTTATAAGGCGCTGGCCACCCATATCCATGCCTGGGAACGCATCTCACAGCAATTCCGGACATTTATGGTCAATTTTATGGTCAAGGTCTGGACTAGGAAGCGGAGGATCACTTTGGGACTTTGGTGATATGAGCAAACTAAAGAGGAGCCTTGACACCTACCCCTGAGTGTTCGCTCTGACACTGAGTCCAGCAGCAATGCTCTGTTTGCTTGAAGAAACCCGCATTTTTTGAATCTTGAAGTACTATAGGAAGCCCGATGGGAGCTTCAACGCCTGCCGAAGACTATCAAACACCGCATGGCAGTACCTGTAGCCTGAAAGCCGCCTTTTGGCGTCAACCGGAAAATGCATGCCTAAACCTTAAAGGGCAAAACCCACATGAAACCCCTTCAACAAATCAAGAAACCTTCCAACCCTCAACAAGTAAACATCTATTCCTTCGCTTCTGGATGTGATACAGTGACAAAGTCTGATAGTAGTAGTGGCTATGACTACACACCCCTTTTGGAAGGGTTGCAAACTTTTAGCGGGATATTGTTTATTTGTGGGATATTTTTTAAGGCCTCAGTCTCTGTAGTTTTAAAGAGTTTCTTTTTTTTGGTGGGCTTTAGTATTTTGTATTTTCACGTGTTTTTAGTCAATTCTAATTGATTTTCAACTAGTTTTGACTAATTGTGTTAGTTGGATACTCTTTTGGCTTTAGTCTTCTGTACGTTTAATGAACTTTTTTGTAAATTATCAGTGATTTTAAATTACTTTTAAGCAATCTTTAATTTAAAATGTCCTTGTATTCTTTTGCTAAATTTACGTTTTATGTATTTTTCAATGGAAACGTTCTTTTTAGATTTTCTTTGAAATGTCCTTGTCAGTTTCCTTTTAGGTGTCCTTTAGATCTTTAAACATGTCCTTTTCATGTCCCTTCTAAATTTATTGCTTATTCAGTCAACTTGTTTTTGTGAAAGTTTCTTATAATTGTCTTTTCCTTTGTGATTTTAAATTTCAATTGAACCTTTCCTTAAAGTTCATTCTTAAAATGCCCCTGCAACTGTCCTTTCAATTTCCTTTCGAATTTCCCTTCCAAATGTCTTGCATGTTTCCTTTATTCCATTTTTTTTTCTGCCGTTTTTCAATTTCCTCTTATTTGCTTTTGAACTCCCTTTTACATTTTCTTAAACAAATCCTTTGCAATTTCTTTTATGTCATTTCAAAGGCTGCGCCTGTTTCATGACATGTGGACGCTTGAGTGAGATCTAGATAGCTATACCCGAAACTACTTCTACACTTACATTTCAAAAGCGGGAGGGGGCACGGGGGAGTGCGCAGCGCCTCCCCCGCAATGCAAACTAGTAACAACAGCAGTCTGACCCGCTCATAACCATGGCACAGTTGGCTGGTTTGTGGTAGTGTAACTTGGCACGGCCTTCCTTCCTTTCGCCAGCTAGCCTAAAAAAGAGACATCATGCAGTATCTCTATATGCAAACTTAAACACATTTTGTTTTGAAATTACCTAGCCGCTGTGGCAGCAAATTTCCAATACATACCAGATAGCATGTTACCGTGATGTAACAATCGATGACGTGAATGGCCGATGCGATTCAATGAACCATGTCAAACTTAACAACACTCCATGTACCTTTCGATGTCTGTTCTCTCTCTGATCAAAACGAGTGGCCAGACATGGAGACTCGAATCATCTCCAAACCTCAAATCGGAGCGAAGCAACCGCAAAACGAAATTCACTCTCCGCGATTCTCTGGGCCGAACAAAAAAGTTCGGCTTCCAGGGGGATATCGCACGTCTCACAGGCCTCAAAATTGCAAACCGGAATAAACATTGCCTGTAAAATCTGTACACTGCTTGGAGCAACTCAATGGACCCCTTTCCAAAAATCTTATCCCAATGTCCTGCACTTCTCCAGGAGGGACTGTGAGCGGGAAATCATCATGAATCGCACCCAGCCTCATTCTGCCGGGGCAAAAAACATCATCAGGTTGTAACAAGCAATGCAGCTAGAGTAATTGCTTCAATCATTGAGTCTACTAAGTCTACTACGACCACTGTGAGTATTGTCAGTATTGCATGTAAATAGAACTGCTGGTTTTGGTCTCTATGAACACATTGATCGTGGGGTCTGTCCAGTGCTCTGGTGGATCTTGCCACATTTGGTTCAGCGGCAATGTCATGTGGAGATCGCCTGACACCTGCAACAGTTTCCACATTTTGAGCCACTCTAAAACCGTTACAAAGCAAATGGCTTTGGCCCGGATGTGATCGGACCTGCTCCAGCAATCTGGGCAGCACGTTGCTGGAGTCCTACAAAGTTGGCAGTTCTAAATGAGACATGTTCGAAACAATGTAAAGGACCATGACCTGTCCCACTCCTCAAGTTTGATAACGAGATCCAGGTCAGGTCGCTGGTCCTTAAGCCAAACCTGGAAGATTTTCTGCAAACTTGGACGTTCGAAAGTCCTTTCTGAGACTGTGACGCGTTCCAATCTTTCTGAATGAAAGTTAAGTTTCCCTGAAAATCTAGGCACCAAATCATTAGTGCCAGCGTTTCTTCAAAGAAGCTCCCCCAAGCCGCCTTTGGAGGATTTATGGGAAGCTTCCTTGAAGAAGCTTGAGCTATCCCGCATCCAGTCACTAAATGTTACTAGAAGCTAACTAGTAGGTAGGGGCGAACTTCTCCTTTACTTAATTAAGCACGCGCCTACGTAATTAACTAAGGGCGGCCTCAATAACAAAACAAACATTAGTCTATTTTAGTTCTTTATGTCATGGAGAGGCATTTTTTCAGACCTCAGCGACACAACCACCCCAAGGCCGCGCTGTTGGACCTTGATTCGAGTTTGGACGCTCGAGTGGATTGGTTGCGCTACTCTTCACCACTTGCTGTCGTCGCACGAAGAAGTCGAAGCTGTTTCCCGATGAAGTTATGAACCGGACGGGGCTAGGTGGCAAGGCACGGGTGAAACTTGATGGAAACGTCTCTTCATTGGTCATGCACGTGCGACCTTTGAAGAGAACACTATGTATATATTTATATACACATTCTCCTTAGCATCCTTATACTTGCTCCTTTTAATACCCCTTTTCATTATTCCCGCTTGTTTTCACGTTTGCAAGGTGGTTCTTTGTTTAATCCTTTTTCACAGGCACCATAATACTTGAGTGCTATATATTTGTTTTACAAAATGAGCACAATTTCCAGCTTTCGTCCGGTTCAGACGACCGGAAACATGCCCGGTCTGCAATTTTGATTTCTGTGCTCCTCATCTCAGCTCAAAGGTTCGACGCAGTACTGGTTCTTGTGCCACCGGTCGCATGCTTACCCCCATGTTTGACATGTGCAATTCCCACGTCGAGTCTTGGGAAAGGAAAAGCCGTCTAAAATCATGAGAGCTTCTTTGAGAACGTATAGTCAGACATGTCTCAAGTTTGAACTGGAAAAACTTCCAAGATGCCGAACCAAACTTCCAAGCAGTCTTAGGACTGCAGGTGAAGGCCTCAAACGAAAAAACCTTCAAGATGTTCAACATCACCGGCTCTGATCACGTGAGCCGCGCGCACCTCTCCAGGACCTGGTGGCCCAGTGAAGTTTGAGCTTCCGCCTGGCTCGTTTCTCGTTTGGGATTCGTGGACTAGAAACTTCCATTTCGTGGACCGCTTTTTGAGCGGAACTTGCGCTCCCGGATGCTCAAGACCAACACTCTTTTCCACTTTTCCAGCAGCATGGGCACTGCGTTGGCTGTGAAGTCTGCAAGGGGTGTTGGCAAGGCCTTTGACACGCTGACAACTGCCATGTCATCCAATATCCACTTCATCAAACTCTCGAATCCATTTTGAAGATTTTGAACACTATTTTCCTCACAAAACTCCGCATGCGGCAGTTAAATGTATACTTTGTGATCTTGCACTGTCTTTTGTGCCTCCAAATGGAAGAAACCAATGTCGTCATGCTTCGCCTGAGCAGTTGTCGAGGAACGTGCTCCCGCTGAGTGCACAGAAAGGTATCTCCTTTTCTAGCGGCCCCGGCAGGCTCCATGTTTCGGGCATCAGAAGCCGTGCAGCCAGGTGCCAAGTCAGCAGTGTAGCCTGTCAGACCAAGGCAAAGAATCTTGTTCAAAGGCTTCGAATATGACCCCAAAAAGAAGATCCAAAGCGAATTCATTGGAGGGCGAATTCATTTATCTGTTATCTGTGTCATTCGGTTTCACATCTTGAGTCCGAAATCAGCCCTTTGAGTCATGTTGGCCTATTGAGACCCAATGGGCTCCAGAAGATGGCTCGGAAGTGACCTGGTCCAGTCGTGAGTTCCGTCCAATCGAGCCAGAATGGTGAGATGCGACCCCGTAATTAGGCATCGCTCGTAGTAGCTTCAAGCTATTAGTAGTAATGGCCTCCAACCTAAGAGCGATAGAATTTTACATCATATTGCATAATATGTACTTGCATATTGGCATATTGCATATAAATTACAGCATACTCGCAATCCATACAACATCAAAGTTCCCAAACCAAGGCACGTCCAGTAGCTCTGGATTGCAAATGTCCAAATTGGTCTCCTCCCTCGGAGTGCCAAATCGATCCAAAAGGCATTTTGTTTTCAGAAAATGTCGCGCATTCTTTCGAGCAAGTCCTTCCCGCCGGAGTGTACTTTTGGCTTTCGGCTTTCCGTCTCTCGAAGTGCCTGATCTCTCGAAGCAGCGCTGCCTCACAACTCTCCCCGAAGTTCACAGCTCCGCCAGGCCTCAACAAACGGCAAGAACACAAACGTCTTCAGATCAATCAAGTCTTTAAAACGTAAGTTGAATTAGAAAGTGAAGTTTGGAACACCTGCCAGAATGACTTTGAAACATGTGCAAGAGTTGAAGAGATCAAGAGCTTGCAGTTGGTCATAAGAAGAGAACCTTTAGACACCTTCAAGATCTTTCCTATGAACCACGTTTAAGGACATTCACATATACCTGCGAGGCGATGAAGTGGCGTAAAAATTTGACAATTGAAGCTGTGGTTCGCGAATCGATCCACACGAAATCGAGAAGTGTACACCATGTACACGGCACCCAGACATGCCTGAAACGGCATTTGGCTCAAGTGGAGAAACAAGCAGCGGTGTTTTGCTGCACATGGGTTATGAGTTATGAGCCCAAAGTGTGTCTGACGCCATGGCAGATCTCAGAAGGAGATCGCAGCAGCGGCAGCCTTCAGCGGACGAACAGCCCGACGCCATGATCGCTGAGGCGAAGGCAAAGCAACCTCAGCGGGCAAAGAGCTTGGAGCCGAGCATGAAGCTGACGCCGGCCCTGAAACGGACCTCAGGAACGCCGAGCCAAGCTGCGACTGGTGGTGGTCAGGCTACATCCTCGTCAGCGCCCACGGCAAGGCAACACTACGTTCCTCCTCTACCAGGGGCTTCTCTTCTACCACTTCCCGCCCCAGGACAAGCAGCTCCTGGACTTGCAACAGGATGGTCAACCTCCTGGCAAGACTGGGCAACCTACAACCTTGGGTATGACATCGGTATCCCTATACCTATGAGCTCCTGTATGCAAGCAACCGCTGCAAAGGAGACAACAACGCCTTCTGGAGGGCAGTTTCCTTGACCTTATCCCACTCGAATGTGTCCGGGAGTAGGAACCTCGGGCAATGATGGAGCACCGTCAGGTGGAGGTGGTGGAACTGTGAGACCAGGTGGTGGAGCTGGAGCGACAACAACTCCGGCTGGTGATGAATTGATAAATGAGGGACCGCAACGTGGAACTCCCTTTGTTGCCGGCCGACACCAATGCGTTGACCTTCGGCGACTGGTTGGTGACCGTGGACCGCTGGTGGCGGACGTTAGTACGCCGGCTAGTGTGGTGGGTTATGACCATGAGGGGGTTGGAAGAAACCTATGCCCAATGGCTGGACATGGATCTACTTCAACGTCTACGACTGGACACCAGCGCTTCAACGGCGGCTACCAGTTGGCCACGGATGGGGAGGAGGATGACAAGCCTTCTTCTTCAAGCAGTACCTGAACGCATTCGGGCTGAAGCAGTGGCAGCGAGGAAGTTGAGCGCAGCCCGCTTGCTGTTCACGCTCTTCGTAAAGTTTCAATCTGGACGACAAGGTGTGAAAGGATGATCCTCATCCGGTACTGGACTGAGTTGAAGATTACAGGATCTATGTCCGCGTTGGCCGCTCAGCTGAGGCAGTGGAGGAGGCGGTGGAATCAGGGGCCGACGCCCGTCCCAATTTTGGAGGTCATCAAGACGTTTGCGGAGCTCCTGAGGCCGAGAGTGAAGAGTTGGCGCATTCAAGGGGACTATACACCTGTGGTGAAAACTATGGCGGTATCTCCTCCTACATCGTCAACTGCGACTTCTACGCCGGAAACGGGCGCGCAAGCTTCTTGAAAAATCATCTCTGAACCACCTGATTCACGAATTCTTGAAGCAGGTCACGGTAGTCTAGAGGCTCCTGATTCTTCCACTCTCGAGTTGGAAGCGTCCAGTGCAAGCCATCGCGTATGGGGCAGGATTCAATTGCGCCTGCCTTCAACTACACTCCATGCCGCGTAGTGCCAGAGGCACCTTCGATGGACGACCTCATCCGATACCAGTGGACGCGGGGAACTACACCGGGGGACAAGTTACGTACAAGGGCCTGGGGGACGCACTACATGGTGGACACCATCGGCTGAAGAGGTGGGTTTGGAGCTGCAACAGCAAGTTCGCCCATCAGTGTACAAAGCATATCCGGTGAAGGCACCGCCGGTGAAGCCACCGCCGCCGAATGCCTAGCAAGAGGGCAGGCCGCCACCAAAGGCTCCGCGCAAGGGGTATGGTGGTCAAAATGCTTCGAGCTCTTCCGCGCAGCCACGTACGGCGATGGAGAGGGGGCAAGCAGTGATGGGGGCATCGTCTAAGACGGCGGGGGCGGCAACCGGCCACACCTCGAAGGCAGCTGGATCAACCCTGACCGGAGTGTCAAAGTCAGCAGCGGCGGCGTGGGAGACTATGCCTGGAGCGCTGGACGAGCGACTGGCTGGGTGAGATGGACGATGAGATCATATTTCAAAACTCAGTGCGAGGAGGCCACTTGGTACAAGCCTGTCCGCAAGACAGACAATTGGGACCGCCTGAGCTTGGACGAGCGCAGGTGGTTGGTGAAGATGCGCGGACCAAGGGTCCAAAGGTTCCATCCGGAACATAGGTCGTGTCCCGTCTGGGTGGAAGACTTGGAGTTCATGCGCGCGACGTGCGCATGGAAGGGTGACAACTGGCACTGCATTGTCATCGTGGACTCCTGGAGGTGCGCTGAGTTCGGGGATGGTCCTGGCCAGTGGGTCGGCTTGTCGTTCTTCTTGCTCAAGAATGAGCAGACGCGACAGAGTGTGATTCGGGGGGGAGTGTGGTTCGCGAATCGATCCGCGCGAAATCGAGAAGTGTACAATGTATACAGCGCCCAGACATGCCTGAAACGGTACTTCGCTCAAGTGGAGAAACAAGCAGCGGTGTTTTGCTGCACATGGAAACAATTACAGTGCAGCACCTTAAATCCCTCTGCCTGGCAACCTGACAGCTTTTGTTTCTCATGATCAAGGTTTCGTTCAAAACACAACAAAGGTTTCAAGAACTTAAACGGACTCAACACTCCAAGCACGCCTTGCCCAGGCGCCCGGCGCAGTCCGAGCAGTTGCACTGCGTTTCAGTAGCAGCACCTAGGACGGACTCGAACATGTAAGAAACAACTTTCTTGACAATCAAAAAACAAGAGACGAGATGAGGCATGATGAGACTCAAGGTCTTTCAAAATTAAGGATCGTATATAAGTTGCAAGCTTGAGAAGGGAGGGGACGAAACCCAGCCTCCGTAACAATATGACATTGTTGTTATGGGGTGAAGTCGACATTGCACTGACGTCTACTGCTGTTAGGCACGGGGAAATAGAAGGCAGAGAGGCGCAAAGTCTCGCATTGAGGGTCGATATGATAGAAGTGGAATTCATGCGTTGAGACAAAGGTTGAACTGAGCAGGACATTCACAGTTCGGGGAGGTACCCTTTGTCTCTGGGCGCAAGCCCGTTTTCATGCCGAAAAAAGGCGCCCTTAAGTAACTGATGGGCGCTTGCCTGTATAGTGGGTTGAGAGTGGATGGCACAATCCCCAAAAGGTGGTTTATATGGACCCCTATATAAAAGACATTTTGGCGTTTGCGCCGCCTATATACTCTCAATTGTTTGCCTCTCCTGTCTTGACAAACCTGGTGAGCTTACCTCAGTATCTTATATGATTATGTAGTTATAAAGACGAAGCCTGGACATGTCCTGCTGAGATGTGAAACGCTGTTTCTGTGAGTGTTTAGAGCTTAGAGGTGTTTGGCGGTACAGAGTCTCGCCGCTTCTGTGCGGTGGAGCAGAAAGTTAGTGCTCATAAGTGGACCGATGAAGGTTTAGTGCCAAGATCACGTGGATCGCATGATTGTATAAAATCTAAAGTATATAGCTCTGAGGGGCGCCCTTTTTCATCCGGTTCCCTTTTCACAATAATTACATCTCCTGTCCTCTACCTGTATTCTTTGCAGCGTTATGTTTTTGACCAGATAGCTGCAGGCTATAGGGGTTC